GCATAACATGGATTCCAGCTTTTTTAGAAAACTAAAACCTATTACTAGCAACAGCTTTGTAACATTCCTCACTATTTCTTTCTTAAATGAATGAAGGAGAAGGAAAGTTTAAGTTATCTCCACAAGATTCAAAACTCTGGCTAGGCTCTCTGCATTTCAAATTCCCTTTTCAGAATTAGGGAAAAAGCAAAAATCAAAAGTGGCACAACACAATTTATACTAACATATATTTAGCTTGAATGCAATTATCCTTCTTCAGCAACTATGAAATGTTCATTTTTATAAGGAAGATGCTAAATAATGATCAGTAAATTCAAAGTCTTATAACAAGTAGTTATAATTCTGACCAAGAAAAAGGTCAGAGACTAAGGAGGCCATTTCCTCATACTAGGAAAGGCTGAGGGAGCCTCCAGAAAAGATGTCTGAGAGGAGACCTCATCAATGTGTGTCAGTATCTAAAGCATGGGGTGTCCAGAGAACATTTCCAGGCTCTTCTTGGTGGTGTCAAGCAATAGGACAAGAGGCAATGGGCAGAAGCTGATGCACAGGAAGTCCCACCTGAAGATGAGGAAGAACTTCTTTACTGTGTGGGTGACCAGGCACTGGAACAGACTGCCCAGAGAGGCTGTGAAATCCTGGGCCTTGTGCTCTAGCATGACCCTGCTTGCAGGGAGGCTGGGCCAGAGGACCCACGGTGGCCCCTTCCAACCTGACCCATTCTGTGCCAATTCCACAATTAACAAATCTCTCGTTAGAAGCATGCATGCTGCTTTTGAATGTACACTAAAAAGCTATTAGAAATAATTACTGAGGTTTTAAAATACCAACAAAAAAATAAAGAAATCACAGAATTGCAAACCTCATGACTTCACTATATTAATCCTGGTTGCAAGCAGACCAGGCCCTAACAAAGGTCAAAACCTAACAAAACCTTGGGACAGAATTTAGCCAAAGCCCATAACCACGTGAGCAATTTCTATTTTGAAATGCTCAGTCTTTTCCCAGATACTTTTTTTTCTGTGATACAGCAAGTTTTAAAGTATTTTTAAGGCAGCATATTCACAAAATATCCTTAGTTAAGGGAAAATTTCTCTTATTATAGGAGCTTTCAACTCTCCATTTGCTCTTTTAATGCTATGCCTTTCACAAGAATCAGGTTCACTACTTGCGTGGAACTTTAAAATGGTTCAAGGTAATAAAGATGTAATCTAGACCCTCTTTAATTTTATGCTGAAGTAAGAAAAACATCTTTTACTACATCTTTTGAAATTAAAAATTATTGCTCTTGCAACAGATGAATCAAGTTCCTCAAGGGGGGAAATATTTAGAAAGTCTTTTCTAATTGTTCTGGGGGATAGGAATTCCTACTTTGGTTACAAGCATTTTCTTACTAAGTATTTTGGTACAAAAGGGAAAAAACTCTTTAGGACAACTATAATCCAAAGGGAAGGTGTATCTTACTATCTATGCCCTAGAACTAAAATTCGGCACACAGGCAAGTGCTTTGTTTTGGTTTGGGTGGTAAGATTTTTGGTTGGCTGTTTTTGGTGGTTTTTTTGGGGGGGGGGGTTTGTATTTGTCTGTGGTTTTTTTTTTGTTGTGGTTGGTTTGTTTTTAAAAAACATAAAATTTCTCTTTTCAAGCAAAAAGATATGACTACTCTTCTTCTCTGGGGTCCAGAAGAAGCATGACATCTCTGCATGTTTTCTCCATGCCTAACAACTAGCACCTTCCTGAAGAAAACACAAATACCATTCAAAAGGCCTCTCTACAGTTACAAAGGACAGTGTCCCTCAGAATCTGCTTTCCAACTCTAGTTATTCCTGACCTTATTGTAAGCTTTGGTTCCAGAACTATGTGAGGAGCTTTATGGGATAACCCCTTCTGATACCAAACTGTTAATTATCCAAAATTAAATGAGAACCAACCACTAACATAGGTCCTGATGTTCCATCTTCTTAAGCATCTGAACTTCAATCTGATCTCAAAAAAGGCAAATATTGTATGTAAAGGCAAATATTTACAGGCTATAAAAGTATGATCTTAAAAGCCTGCATCTAGAAAGACAATAGAGATATGCTGATAAAACTTCAAGGCAATGCTGCAAATTGCATTCCAATAAAGATCAGAATCTCACAGTTGGAAGGTGGTGGGGCAGTTTAGCTCAGACAAATTGGTTATGGTATTTTCACAACCTTAGAGTAACTGTTAAAGACAAAGAAGGACCTTGTGATGAGTTTTACAGTAAAATCTGTTATTTAATGCTAGAAAATACTTAAGACTAACTCAGTTTATTTTAAAAGAAATCCTCAACCTTTTATTGCTACTAAAAATGATCTAGTGTCATTTTGTAAGACTGAAATAATAAATTTTCAAACTAGTAAAGAGTTAGTATCTACAAAAAACCAAATTCCTTATTTTCACTGTTTCTTCCAATTAGTCATCTTTGACTACTGCTACTTAAATCATCAGCTGTCTTGTAGTCATGCCCATAATCTTTGGTCTGTAAGTAAGAAGTCACTTAAAACAGTTTATGATTAAAAAAAAAAATTCAATCAATGCTTTTATGTTTTTCTTTCACCAAGGCCACAGAGTTTATAGCTTAAGCCTTCTACCTATCTCTAAACATGTACTTTCAGTGTCCAATGCTATAAAATCACCACATGTAAATGCAAGAGTTTGTTAAATTTAAATGAAATCACAACCAGAAAAGAATGGTTGTGTGCTGGTTTCCCAGATGGGTAATTGATTTATCTTTTTTTCTTACGATTTTATCACTTCAAGGCTTTTTTTTAAGTACTTATATGTTGAACTTGAAACAAGACAGAACCCTTTCTTACTACTGTGGCATTTGCATGCCTTCAACAGATAACAAACTTAGTTATAGTTTGCTGTTAATTTCAAAAACAGCCTTGTTGCTCTGCTGTGAAAATCCTAAAAATAAACCTGTTCTTTTTACTCCATGCTTCCTATCCCATAAGCTATATTTTCCTTGTATTAGGATACTGAATAAAAAGCCTTTCTTTCATTACACCTTGAAGAATATTGCAATAGGAATCAGGTATAAACAAATCAGAGGAGTTATAAATCACAAGGTAAAATAAATTCTCCCCCTCACCTCCCATTTCAGAGGGAGTTTTGCCCTAATTTATAAGGAATGGTATAGATTCACTACAAACAATAAGAGTTTTAGCTTAAGAAATTACTCCATAGTTGGGTATAATTAGCTCAGCTTTATCATAGAGCAAAAAAATAGCCTGTTACTTACTTGTTTTGAAAGGACCATTAGTTACCAATGCTATCACATATCATTGTACAGAATAAGTATAATGCTTTATCAACCTTTTGAAAATATGCTTTTCATTATTGACTACACAAAAGAAGTACCAGAAGTACTAATCTTGAAAACCAAATTGAGTATAAAACATACAGAACTACACAAGATGCAACCTTTTATTACAGTAATGGTGTGCTGGTTTTGGCTGGGGTAGAGTTAATTTTCTTCCCAGTGGCTGGTACAGGGCTGTGTTCTGGATTTGTGCTGAACAAAGGGTTGATAAGACAGAGATGATTCTGTTATTGCTGAGCAGGGCTTGCACAGAGCCAAGGCCTTTCCTCCTGTTTGTACTGCCACTCTGGTGAGGAACTTGGGGCTGAGTGGAAGGAGATACAGCTTGGACAGGTGACCCAAAGTGACCAGAAGGACATTTCAGACCAAGTGATGCACACACTGACACACAGAGTTGACATACTGGCTAGACCTCAGACCTGCCTTGTCACTATTAACTTGCTTGGTGTCAATGGACTTTGGTGGAACCTGGTTACTGCGAACAGACCTTCTGCTCCTCTGCCAGGCACCGTGGCACTGCTTCCACAGTGATGACACAGCTCCTGTGCCTACCTTGTCCCAGCTAGCCTTCCTTCACCTTCCCTCTGCTGCTCTCCCAGACACATCTGAGCTCTGTCAGGCCTCCTGCCACATTTGCTTCATTTTCTGCATGTCAAAAGAAGCCATTCTTGTGCTTTGAGAAGTTATTCTTGAAACAGCTCTTCAGAGCTGCTTTGCAATTCAGACTAATCCTCTCCTCAATCCTACCAAGCAGACTCCAGAACAAGACAAACATCTGTTATTATGTAGCACACATGTAGTTCTAACCCTACTCATCATTCTGCTCACTTCTTTCTGGACATTACTTTCCTGCCCCAGACCACATCTACAACCAGTTCTTGCCTGTGAGCAAGTAAGGACAGCTGACCCTCTCCCCCAGAGGAAGATTTTATGCTCTTGTGAAACATACCCTTCTACTTCACGACAGTTTAACAGCCTTATAGTTATGGCAAAATCAGGTTTTAGGTGAATGCAAAGCAGTTCACTTTCATTCTATACTTGTGCAGAGCCTTTTACCCACAAGTAATACCACAGCTACCTCATTTTCCAGCTCCATCTTTTGGCATGCCATTCACATTCTACAACTTATTTGAAAAAAACAAGGACTTTTACTTATCTGTTCAAATATTCATGTGCCATGTTCATTGTATAAACACACACAACATAATGCTCTTTTCCAAGGGACTAATATGGTCTCTGAATTAATATGTCTTCCAATGGATCTGCATTCCCCATGGGGTTTCTGTTGCAGCATGAGGGCAGGGTCATTTATTCCCACCCATCTCCATCTGCATCTCTAACAGCTGAGCAGAGCTATACCAGCAGAAGTCATTTTATCACTATTTAAGAGACATTATATCAAAGACAGTTACAGCTTACACTGAACTTTCATAGTTGCTTTTGCTAAATGCTGCATCCAAGCACATACACCAAGAATATTTCTTGACTTTCATAGGACCTCAAGTGTTCCAGGTATTAAGTACCACTGGCCCTAGTACTCAAATCCATCTGTTGGTATCAGCAGATGAAAAAAACAACATACTATACAGTTCTGAAATAAAGCAGCTATATTTAAAAGCATATTATCAGAAAAATGACAACACAGTCTCACCTTGAAATGATTCGCAGGGTGTATTAGCTGATGTGCTAGCATCTGCTGATGAAATCTGGACATTATCCAAATTCTTTTCTTTAGATTTTGAGTGAGGATTTTCAAGAACCACCTCCTTTTCTCTACTTGAAGTCTGAACAAGAGAAGATGATGAAGTTTCACCATAGAGTCGTTTCAGTAGTTTCGCCAAGAACACTGCAGGATAAGAAAACTTTTTTTTAATATGAAGAAATGCAGTGTTTAAAAAATATTTTAAGACTTCAGAAACCCCAGCAACTAATTGATATAAGACAGTTCTCCTCATGTTCCACGGAAGTCTGTTTTGAGTAGTCTCTACCTCTCACAGGTGAAACTAAAAATAAATATATTTAAGTTCAAAACTTGAATTAGAAAAACAGTTTTAAAACACCCAAGTCCATTAGCAAGGTTACATTTAAAGTCTTCCATTTGACTACATTTTGGCAGTAAATTACAATACATTCACAGACTAAACACACATTAATTTTTAAAACAAGAATCTTTCCATGCAAGTGTCATAAGGCTGCTCAAAATGCAGGTCTCTGCTGGCACAGAGGCAGCGCAATTGAATTACTCATTAAAATCAGTAAGCTACAAGGATTTAATCACATAGAAAAACCAGGAGTAGACAGCAGCAGAAACACATGGTAACCAGTTATTTCTACAGAATAATCAGTATTCTTACACGCCTCTTCTTCTTATGGGCCCATTTCTGACGACACTGACAATCTGCTACAAGTTAGTCAAACGCAAGTATCATTTGATTAAAGAAATATATGAAAATAATCTGCTCATTAACAAAACCATTACCTTTGTATGTATACATATACACTTCAACAACTTAAAAAGACACACTAAAGTATAAAGTATTACTAAAAGTTTTTATCTGTTGCAAAGCAACATCTCTGGTTTCATGAATTTTATGTGGTCAAGGGGACATGGCAGTATGTGGGGGTGGGAAAAAAGACATCTGGAGAAAAATGTTATCTAAATTGCAACCTCAGATTTAATATATATTCTGTGGACACTACACAAGCAACCTGCTGCAAATTCATAATAAAATAATTCTGCCAAGAGAAAAGAACTCTTCTTAAATTGTCATAAGAAGAACGTATCCCACTGATGCTTAGCAGAAAAATATTTTAGAGTCCCATAACTTTTCAATAAATTACTTCCCAACTGAAAAAAAATCTTCATCCTTGAACCACCAGTCCTTGATAGACAAACTGGACCTCCAGTGTACCTTGGCAACTAGGCTTTCTCATGTAAATGCTGAACTGCATGCCTTGCTATGGGCTGTGATTACAGTTTCCAGACAGACAGACATGAACAAGTGACTGTGCATTTTCCTAAGGTTCCCTTGCCGGGTTAGTCTACAGCCAGAAAGACAAAAATCCACAATGAGCCTCCTCTGCTAAAGAAAGTAGATGGAAATAACCAGCATAATGAGACAAAGTTTACTGCCTTTTTCAGATCTCTGACTCTTAAACAAGTTATCCAAGAGGTTTATCCTGAATCCTTTCCCGAAGTGCTGCTGCTAACACTACAGCATTTTAATAAACTACAGTACAGCCATTACCAAATGTCACGGTTTAATGCCAATAGGCAGCCCAGCTGCTTGCTCACTTTCTCCCACATGGAATGGGGGAAAGAAGCAGAAAGATAGGATTGAGACCATTCATGGGTTGACATAAAGACAGTTTAACAGGTAAAGCAAAAGTCATGCACACAAGCACAGCATGGAATTAATTCATCATTTCCCATGGGCAGGCAGTGTTCAGGGATAACCAGGAAAGCAGGGCTCCATCACATACAATGCTGATTTGGGAAGACAAATGTGCCCCACTTCCTCCACGCTCTGCATGCTGAGTATGGCACCATATGGTGGGGGACACCCCTTGGGTCAGCTGGGGTGAGTTGTCCCAGCTGTGTCCCCTCCCAATTCCTTGTGCACTCCCAGCCTCCTCGCTGGTGGGCTGGGGTGAGGAGCAGAAAAGACCTTGCCTCCATGTAAGCACTGCTTAACAACAACAAAAAGATCCCTGAGTCATCAACACTATTTTCACCACAAATACAGAAAACACATCACCACAGGAGCTGTTATGAAGAAAATTAACTCTAGCACATCCACAACCAGTACACACATTAACATTCAAGCACTTGTACTGAGGGAATTGTTCTTCCAAAGCAAATGATCACTGACATGCTGATAAATCTAAATATACAAATACATCTCCAAATCTGCTGAGAAGAGCAGCCTCCTCATAACTATACTGTATTTTGTGCTCTCCACCTTGAAATGTGATTTCCCTAATCATCTTCCCCCCCAAATTACATCATCTTTTCCTTTCCATTTTTAAAATTGAGGGCCTATATTCATGCACACAATAGCATTGCTTCAGAAAGCAAGATGAGACGTGCTGAGATGCATTCATTCCTTCTAACTCCCATGGGGAACTCTCCCCATCTTTAATACCTTTACTTGAGAAAGCAGGCTGATAGAATGCCTGCTTGGAGGGTACAAATGCTGAGGAGGTTAATCTTTCATGAAAATCTCTTTAGCTCAGAAAGAAGTATCTAGATCAGGAACAGTGACAGATTCACCAAAGCAACATCCACTTGGTTGGAGTTTTCAGCAGACACTGGAAGAAGCAGTAAGGTGTGGAGTGAGGGAGCTCTTCACTGCCTGCAAAGTTTTCACATCTGTGTCAGAGCATCTCAGCACTGACACAGGACATCTCTTAAGATAACTAGCAATTTCCAATAACCATAACAAAATAGAAGCGACAAGTGTTGACACACAGACATTACAAGGTCCTTACTGAAACCTGATGTACTTCAAGCCTTCTGAAGACAGCAGGAAGCAATGAATCCCAGCAGTTCACCTACCTCAGGTCAATGAATAATCACAGAATCAGGTGAGTGGAAAGGGACCCACAAGGATCACTGAGTCCAACTCCTGTCCCTGAAGAGCACCATCCTCAAGAGGCACATCATGTGCCCAAGAGCTTTGTCTAAACTATTGAGCTCTGTCAGAATAGTTAGAATAGTGGTGCTGTGACCACTTCCCTGGGAAGCCTGCTCCAGTGTCCAAACACCCTCTGGCTGAAGAACCTTTTCCTGATATCCAACCTAAACTTCCCCTGACACAACTTCAGGCCATTCCCTTGGGTCCTGTCATTGTCACCACAGAGATCAGGGTCTGCCCCTCCTCTTCCCCTCACAAGGAGCTGTAACTGCAATGAAGCTCCCCCTCAGTGTCCTCCAGGCTGAACAGACCAAAAACCCTCAGCTGCTCCTCGTATGGCTTCCCCTCAAGGTCCTTCACCATCTTTGTAGGTCACTTTTGAATGCTGTCTATAGCGGAATATCTTTCTTACATTGTGGTGTCCAAAACTGCCCCAGCACTCGAGGTGAGGCTGCCCCAGCTCAGTGGGACAATCCCCTCCCTTGCCCTGCTGGCCATGCTCTCCCTGATGCCCCCCAGGACAGGGCTGGCCCTCCTGGCTGCCAGGGCACTGCTGGCCCATGTTCAGCTCGTCACTGACCAGGACCCTCAGGTGCCTTTCCCTGGCACTGCTTTATAGAATCTCATTCCCCACTCTGTCTGTACAGCCAGGGCTGCCCCATGCCAGGTGCAGAACCCAGCACTTGTTGAATTTCCTATGGCTGGTGATTGCCTGGCCCTCGGATCTGTTGAGGTCTCTCTGCTGAGCCCCCCTGCCCTAGAGGGAGTCAACAGCTCCTCCCAGTTTTTATTGTCTGCAGATTTGGTTAGTATGCCTAGAATCCCCAGAAAGTGCTGAAAAAACTGACTTATTTTGAACTGTTTGTAATCCTAAGTACATTCTAGTCTGAATAAAAAATAAAAATCTGCCTGCAGCCCAAAACCTGAACACAGTGGTCCTCAGTATAAGTGAACTAAGAAATTAGGCTCTGAGGAATACCCATTCTGCTATCCTCAGCAGCTTTACATGCTCCAAAGCAGCACTCTGCTTTGCAATTAACAGTCTCAGAACTGAGCTACCAAAACATTTTTCAGATGACAAAGGAAGCTCTTTCCAGAGAGTTTTATCACTGCAATTACTTGAAAAAAAAGGTATTGTGTGATATCCACAAGCATTGGCTCAATCACGGGAGAATGGTCTTGCCTGATGCTATGGAGCAGTTCTTGCCTATTGAAAACCTCCCCTTAACCTGGTGTCTCTGGTACTGTTCAGCATCAGAGATCAGTCCATTTGGTAAGAACTGCTCAGACCCTTAAAAATAACTACCCCTTTACAGAATATTAGCAATAAAGGAAATTCAAGCAAAAAATATCTACTACCAGAAATGTATCTTACCTATTAGTTTCAAAATGGAGTAAGCTTGCTCTCACCATAGCCATGGCATAGTCAATTTAATAACCATATGGTCATTTCTTAACAATGTTTTCCTGTCAACATAACTGATGGAGGGACAGTACAGGTTCATGTAGTCTTTTGATTCTGATTAGGCTTTTCATTTAATTTTAAAAGAAAAAAATAATTTTCCAGCTGAAAACATGCAACACTATTAAAACATTCCTACTGTGCAATGAGCTGAAGAAACACTAACACTTGACTTTCCAGGAACTCCTCAGTGACAAAAAGGAGACAGTATTTTCAGACATGAGAACAAGCTGCAGTAGGTACCAAACAAGTTCTATGGCTAATTCTTGACAACTCACGTCTGGAAAGAGTGAATTACAAATACATCAGAAAATGGAAAAAGCACCAGGTGTCTACAGTTTGACATCACATAAAGAAAGCAAAGGGTAACTCCAAGAAATACAATGCAGAACACATGCCGGCTACTGATACAAATTGTCAACATCCATGACCCTTCTATTACTAATTTCGCGAGAAGAATAAGGAGCGTCCTTCAAATAAATGCATTTTTGACAGCTAGGTATTAAATTGACACCTTGACTGAATTAATATTACCTACATAACCAGACTATCCACAGACACACTGAAAGAGCACTGCAGATTTATGAATATTCTGGGGCTGGCAACAGGACTTACCATCACTCAAAACTCAGTTAGGACTGGACTGTAACAAAAGCACACTGAAGAACTAAACACATTAAGTTCAGAACATCAGAAATGTTCCTGTGCAGCAGAGCTTCCTCAAAACATTTCTGTGGAGAATGCTTG